GCTTATTTACCAACATGTGCATCAGAATTTAATGTTATTGTTGAAGGTATACGTGGTACATCATTTACAGGTGATATAGCTTTAGATGATTTTCGTTTTGAACAATGTTATGAAGAACCTCCATTACCAACATGTGCACAAGCTGTTGGAGATCCAAATCAATTTATGTGTCAAAGCAAACATTGTATACCACAAGCAAATAAATGTGATTATGAATTAGATTGTTGTGATGGTAGTGATGAAGAAAATATTGCATGTTATGACTATCAAAGGTATAAAGGAAAAAAATAATAAACAAAAGAATATTTTAAGAATTTAATCTTTATTTTATTTTAGATGTGATTTTGAAACAGATTCCTGTTCATGGGAACCATCATCTGGTAGCGAAATAGAATGGGAAAGATATCGTGTTACTGCAATGCCATATAGTCGACGACCACCATATGATCATACAACACGTAGTCAACTTGTACGTTTAAAAAAATTCATTTATTTTAAATGAATATATTTAAATGTAATTTTTTTTTTTCTTAGGGTCACTATTTACAATTACGTTTGAATTCAACAACACAAAGAGATACATTAGCAACCGTATCAAATTATCTCGGAGTAGCAGCACAACAAGGATGTATAATGCGTTTTTGGATTTATTTTAAATCTTCTAATAATGGACAATTAGTTGTTGGTTATCGATATGCTATTGGAGATGATATAAGACCTTTATCATTTTCAAGTTATCAATCATGTCAAACAAATGCAACACAATGTTCATGGCAACGTATCGATGTTTTACTAAGTAGTATTTTAACGCAACCAACTGAAGTAAAATCAGAAAGAAAAAAAAAAAAAACTAATTTCTCTTTTAATGATTATTTTTATTTATTCAAATAGATTATGATTGGTGTAAGGACTGGTGCTGATCGTGATGGAATTATGGCAATAGATGATGTAACATATACACCACAATGTGTTAAATATAATGGAACAATACCAACACGACCTACAACAACAACTTCAACACCAACACCATATACAGGTCCACCAACAACAACTTCTACATCAACACCATACACTGGTCCACCAACAACTACAACAACAACACCGATGGGAATGACTACAACACAAGGTATAGCAACGACAACTAGTACCGGTAGAATGACTACAACTAAAGATGCAGGTGAAAAACCACCAACGAAGAGTAATTGTAAGTAAAAAATATTTTTGATAGAAATTATTTTTTAATTTATTTTAATATTTTTAGTGGGTCCTATTTTGGGTGGAATATTTGGTGGAATTGCTCTCATTGCTTTAATTATTATTGGATATATTTACTGTTTACCAAAAATACGTGCAGCTAGGTTTGAATGAAAATAAATATTCTTTTTTTTTTTGAAAGCTTTTCATTGTATTGTATTTTTTTTTTTGTTTTAATAGAGATACAAATGCAAGTGATCGATTACTTGCTTCATTACCTATTGGACCAATTACTAATCCTGCTTACAGTGAAACTGCAACATCTGATGCATAAAAAACATTAATTTTCTTTTTCTAGTTAAAATATGAAATTTTCTTTTCTTTTTCTTTCTATTGCGAAAATTTAATTTGTAAAAGTCTGCTTTTCTTTTTTTTTATTAATGACATTTATAGAACAAAAATAAATTTCATTGGATATATAATCATATTTTCATTGACAATGATTCATAGGAAATATAATTAAGAGAAAAGATTAACAACAGAATAATTAGAAAAATAATATATAGAAAATTGTGTTTTTATTGATTTTACCAATTTTGTTCCAATGAAAATGGTATTATATATTTCATGTAGACAACAGGGTGAATAAATTAATTTTTTTACTAGTAGATGTTGCTGTTAATGCTTCTCGTATAATAGAATTTAGACCATGAACATTCGAATCATATGAGATTGTCAAGATATGTTGAGACTGTAGCAGAAAAGCTGTGGTGAAATTTTCAGCTTAATGTCATGACAGTTTCATCAAAAAAATTTCAACAATAGGTAAATTGGTAATCTAAAATTTTCTGTAAGCATTCATTCATTCTATAGATTTTATTTTCCTTTTGTTTGATAGAGTGTATCATACTACAAAGTCTGACAGAATCTTTTTTTTTTAAATTCTTAGTTTTTCATCGGAAGTTAATGGTAACAAGTCCAACATGACAAAGTGATCTAAAAAGAATGGTATCAATGTTTCAGATTTTCCTACGCCATTGGACTTGTCATCTATAGCATCCAATAAATAAGTAAGAATTTAAAAACTAAGAGCTCGATCAACACCTACAGGTTGATATGCCCTATAAAACAAAAGAAAAATAAAATATATAGAATGAAGGCTAACAGAGAATTGTAGATAATTACATTACTTATCTTTTATCCATGTTTGATGAAGAATGAATGGAAAAAACGTCGAAAGGAAAATCATCGATTCTAAAAAAAAACAAAATGAAAAAAGGCTGAGGATGTGGGCGTGGACGTGACATTGAAAGAAGACTCACATTCACACTCAAAATTTCATCATAGTCTTTTCACAACACCCCCAACATGTCCTAAAAATTTCATATAATTAGAATATTTCATGTCAAAGTCAACTTTGAAGGAGAGGAGGGTAAAGCACTAAATAAAAAAAATTACATAGTCAGTTAAAACATATGTTTCAGTATTAAATTTTTCCGATTGAATATGCTTCATGAAATGTAAATGATACGTAAATTGTAAAATAATATATTTTTAACTTTATATTACAATGATCTTCAATATCCAACATAAATTTTATACTCTTTTGCTTTAAATATCAATAGGTTAACAGTTTTCTCTTGACGAAATGTCTATCTAATACTATCAAATATTCGATAGAGTTTCTATCAATATGTTTATAATAAGTCTGAACTACTTTCTATTGTTCTTATCGGAATAATCGATATATAAGAAATTTGAGAGTATTACATAACTTGCGAATGATTCTTATGATCAGATATTATAACATATAAGTTGATTGTTGATAAGTTAATTGAGTTGAACAGAATGTCACTGAAAATCTCTCGAGTCGGTGTGGTCCAGTGGTTAGGATAAGGCACTCTAAATGCTTTGGCCCGGGTTCAAATCCCGGCACCGATAGGTTTTTTTAAAAAAAAATCTTTTAATTTCGCGCTTCATGAAGGAAATTTCGTAATTTCATATATATTCTTTTTTCTCCAACAAGAGGAAAAGAAAAAAAAAACAACGACATACTTCTAAATAATATATGTAATAATAAGCGTTGCTTCCTTCAGACTCTCATAATAAATATATATATATAAAGTCATTTCACTGACTCTTTCACAAAGCATTTTCTATAAGATAAAATAAATAATCTAAATATTTATTAATCTATATTGAAAAAATAGAATTTCATGTGATACATATCTAATAATATTGATTTGATAAAAAACAAAAAAAGACTAAACTAGAAGATTTTAATAAGAATGAATTATTTTTAATATGCATCAATGTTCAAAAAATTTTTCTATATCATACATTCATGAAAATTTATGTACAATCAAAGAGAGAAACAAAAAAGGCAATAAATCAATATTTAGTAAGATTTATTTTGGTCATTAAATGTAATTATATATTCATCATAGATATTTCAACATGTCTTAAATAGAAAAATTTCTATTTTGACCTTTTTATCTAAGCTATTATATCAACTAAAAAGCTCAAATAAGATAATGTTAGGCTCAATTACGAATAGATCTTAAGGTCAAAAAATCTGCTATAAATATTATTCTATTATTTTCATCAAATAGAAAAAAAAAGAGAAATTGTTCGATTTTTTATTTTTTGTATCCATATACTTTTTTAAATATCGAGGGTTAAATTCTTTTGAAACATCGACATTATTTTATAACTACAAGAAATATAATTACATCCTTTTTATAAATGTTTTTTTTTTTTTTGTGTAATTGAAATAACCCTAGATAAATATTTCCGAGAAAGAATAGAACGGAAATATTTAAAAGTCATTTTTTTTTTTTTTGAGTAATTATAGCAAAAAGAAAAAAAGAACGTAAGCATTTAAAAATTGAAATTCAATCATAGAACTCTTATAGATGCAGAAGAGTAGAAAAAACGAGGGATACTCCTTTGTTTTTTTTTTTTTTTTTCGTATACAATTGTTCTTTCATTTATTATATATTCAATTTTATTCGCTTAGTTAATACTCAATGAGATTTATAGATAAAGTTAGACATATAATAGTTCGTTATCTTTTGAATATGTAATATGATATTTACGAGTAAAGAAAATTTTAACTACATTTTCTATTTGTTATTTTTATATTGAAATCATCAATTGATAACATTTTTACTATACGCTATTGTTTGTTTTGTACATCTTGCATAGCACACATCGAAGAATAACATAGTATGTAGTTAATAAAACTACAATCTGATGTTTATTCTTGTCTTTTTTTTTTTCTCTATGGCATTCATCTAATTTTAACAAGTAGACAAATAGTGACATTTAGCAATCATCGAAAGTTGATATTCATTAAGTATAGGTCGTTTATTTCTTTTTTTTT